CCAAAGGGTCTCAGTTTCTGATAGATTCATACAATATTGGGGGACAGACACAGTAGAAAAGAAGGACAGTAGATATGTTTCAAAATGCCTTGTGTAAGTTTATCTCTTGAGAATGAGATAAAAAGGGGGAAATGTGGAGAATTGAAGATTTTATCACCTGCTATATAAGAAGTGTTACGTTTGAATGGCAGAAAGTGTTGTTGCAATTTCCAGATATTGAGGGAGGCCCCTTGAGTTTCCCTGTTAATTATCAATAGTCTGTGTAAATAACAGGGGAAGCCAAAGGGGGATTTTCCTCAGATATAATGGTTAAATTCTTGTTAAGTTAATAATGCACATCCTGCAGGCCTTGAGAATTGAGTCACACAGTTAACAAGACAATAGTCGGTCTGAATTGTCAATGAATGCATTCATTCCAGTAAACGCTGACTTGGAGGTGAAAGGAAGTTCACAGAAGCCCTTAAAGCAACAAGAACAATTAACTTCTGTTAATGCTAAGGAGTGTGTGTCTATTTGAGCAGCTATATGTGAATTCTGCTCAAACAATACCTGTGTTTGTGTTTTATATTGATTTCTCTGTTTTATTCTTTCATAAATGTGAGGACTAAATTGCTACAAACATTGTGGAGTAGTTGGCTTAAACATGTTTTATTACTCTGTATAAAGGGGAAGGAAACATTCTTCTTAAAATCTCCACCATGTCAGGGAAGTCTACATATCTTGAATAGTAGATGTGTGTGTTTAATTACTTTGTATTAATAATAAGCAGTCTGTGTAAGCAGAAGTTGGAGATATGAGAGATGAAATCTTTGTGTTATCTTTGTGAGCAAGGGAATATTCTTTAGACACAACTGAAGTTTGTGGAATGCTGCAGGATGGGCTCTGTGGGAGGAGAATCTCACCCGACTCCTCCCCGTGGTACCTCTATACCTCCTGTTTGTGTTCGTGTGTTCACTCTCTTTTTCCTCTTGCCGTCAAGATGAGGATGTTCTCCCGGCATTAGGACCAGGGCAGGGGTGGGCCTACCCCTTTGAGAAGTGTATTGTATTCTTACCTTTTATCATTAAAACAGATTATTGTTTAACCCCTATCCTGGTTGTTTTGAGTTTTCCTTCTTTTAAAACAAACTCATATAGGATCGGCGCAGAGCAGAGATATCTGCTCCTACAATCGCCGGAGCTGTATTAGATTAACATTAACATGCTTATTGTAGTTGTTAGTGCACTGTCTTGCGGCCTGTAGCATGGAAAGGAGTGAGCAGAGGGTAGAGTTGTCGATTCTTGTTCAGTTTACTGTGACTATCTTCCTCACCCTCTCAGACTGTCAGTTGCGCGCACTACTAAAGAGACACACTACCATGGAAACCAAACAATGGTGTAGCTGTATTAAAGTCCGAGTGGAAACAGTCCTGAGTAAATCTGATTTTGTCAGAAATGCGGGACAAATATGACCCCGGGAGGAAACCGGGAGAGGGCAATGAAATCGGGAGTCTCCCGCGAAAATTGGGAGGGTTGGCAAGTATGGATATGATACATATTAACTTTCAATTTTATGCATTTCAGTTCTTCAATAACATTACTTAATTAACACTTCACTTTCCTGACAGAGTTCCACTAACATACATTCACTGTCGATTGTTATTTTTAATATTCTTTGCGGAATTTGGCCGTGTAAAATGTCGTCTTGGGTTGCCGTACAGCCAATGTGTGACGTCATTAGTAAGCATAACGGACCCGGTGCTAATCTGGTAGGCCGTGCATATATGGTACCTACACCGGCATAACATGGGACAGTAAAGTGGGAGGTGCTGCTACCTGTCTGAGACATACTTTTTCATAACAAACGTAGGAAAACATCTCGTAGCTTGAAAAATGACAAATAATTCAACAAAATGCCTCTTGAGGGCATGAAGTGACAAAAACATTAAACATTCCTCCATTAAAGCCCATTGTAATTTCAGGCTGATATTTCCTCACGGTAGCAACCGCACACCTTTAGTTAAACTGCCAAAAAGGCCACATTATTAACCCGAAAGTACACAAAAATTACACTTCAGATACTCAACTTCCTTGACATGCTTCACGTTTTGAAATTGCACAGATATCTGTTACGGTTCTTCCACAAAACGTTCACATGTAAGAGGTTCATCTCTCATTCAGAACAATGAAAACCTGTGATCTCTACAGAGCTCGTTAGTTCAACTATAAACACCTGTGTCATGGAACACGATGATGTCATCACTCCAACTGACATGCTCAGAGCAGCAGACTTCAGATAGCAGTGTGCTAACAGTCAAGCCGTGAAGACATCTGGGACAGTTTTGAGATTTCTTCAAATGCCGTTGCCATGGGAACAAAATGCTCGCCTTGAAACACGGTTTTCTCATAACTTCAGTGAAAATACCCCAAACAGCCCAAAACTTCACAGGTTTGGTAACGATGCAGCCATCAACGCATCTAAGCGTATTATGGGGTGTCATCAAATGTCGTTCCCATGGCGACAGACAACTCGCCATGAAACACGATGTGGCTGTAAGTCCAATCGACACGGTCCAATCGTCCCCCAATCTTCGCTTGTATATCACCGGTCCATGCCTCAACAGCTCTACGCCAAATCTGAGATCTCACCATATGCCGTTTCCATGGAATCTTTTTTATCACTCGCCATAAAACATGATGTCGCTATAACTCCTATGAACATTTTCAAAAAGTGCTCAAACTTCACATGTATGCTAACAGTCCAGCCGTGAAGACATCTACGGGACAGCTTTGAGATGTCTTCAAATGCCGTTGCTATGACAACACAATGCTCACCATGAAACACGGTTTTCTCATAACTTCAGTGAAAATGCTCCAAACGGCCCAAAACTTCACAGGTTTGGTAACGATGCAGCCATCAACGCATCTAAGCGTATTATGGGATGTCATCAAATTTGATGGCGACAGATCATTCGCCATTAAGTTAGTTCAAAAGTTTGCAGTTCAAATATTCTGCTGCTTTTCCAAGCCTTCTTACTTTCTTTTCTTCTCTCATCACACATTCAAGCCCCCAGTGTTCATGTATAATTTCAATCTAAATTCTTCACTTTCTTCTTACACATTACATTTCAGCATAGCAGTTTAGCATCAGATTTTCAGCATAAAGCATTCCCACTAGCAATTTCTTCAGGAATTGCATTCTCTAGTTGAGAATGCAGTTTAGTTCTGTGGGAACGTAATTTTTAGGAGACAGGGTTGATATAGTTTACTTCATCTGCATTGCTTGCAAATTGGTCTTGCAATAAAATCTTGCACTATTATTGCTTTTAAATTTGGTTCGAAGACAAGCCTTCAGATACCAACTTTCCAGGGCCCGTTTGGAGCCTGTGCCTCCATGCAAATCAGTTTTCTCGTGTTTCCGCAGACGCAGGGCTCGCTCATGGCCTTAAAAATTGGTTCAACTCCAGCCCCAACTTGGCTCTCTCATCTGTGGGGTGAGATTAACCAAAGCAATAACGGCTCATGGTAAGCATGGCAAAGAGTAGAAAGTTGTTAAGCCAAGTGGCTAGAACACACACACACACACACACACACACACACACACACACACACACACACACACACACACACACACACACACACACACACACACACACACACACACACCACACACACACACGTATATAACTGTATGTGTGTATATGTTGTCACATTCTTTATAAACATCACATTAACCAGGTATATGTGTTACATATTTTTAATTTTTCACCATACTTTTAATGACCACCCATTTTCTATCATTGCCTTTTTTTCACACCAGCAATAAGGTGTAATCGATACATAGGCTCTCAAGTTTTTATGTCAGAAGAAAGCTCATAGTCAAAAATACGTCTGTAAAATATGCCGGTAATGTTCCGTGACAAAAGCTTTATATAGAGTGTATATAATGTGTAAAGTTAATTTGTTGCCTCTTAATCTCGTTATTGATTAGACAGACTTGCTTTGGTGGCTAGGCTAACATTGTCCATGTAATACAAGATACACTTTATTTACAGTGCTATGTTGCCAAACATTGCCAATTAAAACTGAAACATTATAATATCTGAGGAAATATGTATCAGGGGACGTTACTTGTGCAACAGACTGAACGTTAATCACAACTTTCCAGCAGCATTCCAGTTGCTGAACACTATGTGGCAGATTATTAACCACGTCAATTTGAAGAACAATACAAAAGTTGTTCTTAAATTGAATATGGCTTTATATAGGAATAAGAGCAACTGAAGCTCAGCAACAATTCAGTTCACTATTGTTTTGTTGTGAGTGATATTCACACTGGCATTGCTGAGAAAAGCAGCGATATAAACTGTGACGTCATGACATGGCGCCTTTGCATGGATTTGTTTCAGTGGAAGCAGTCGTAGCAATATAAATCAGAAGTCTCAACAATGGTGATAAGTAAGTATATCCTTTCTGCAGCAGTCAGACAACACCACAGCCCCTGGTCGACCCTCACACAAAACAGACTGTTGAAATGTTGTCAAATAAACCTGTAATGTGCAATATATACACTGTTTTGGGGAATTCTACTGTGCAATAATCAATATAATTTGTATGTGTAAAAAAAAGTTTTATAATATGTCAAACCTTAATATGATCACGTATCTATTTAAATGCTCTTACAATTGTTTAGCTATGGGTGAGTACTGTATTGTATTGTTTAACTTTTTATCTGCACTTTGCTGTAACACTGTAAATGTCCCCGCTGTGGGACTAATAACATAATTCTGATGTTGATATATGTCAAATAAAATGAGAGGAATGTGTAGAGTTTAGGGTGTGGTGGGAGGTTGGGGGGGTGCCCTTTTTCTATTCAAGCCCGTGCTCTGCCCAAGTTTGCGCACGGCCCTGATACAGAACCCCTCCTTGCTTAGTGAACAATGTACTGTATTGAATACATAGCCTGTGGTGCAATGTAAGGCTTCAAGTGTCGTTTTTATTTCGAGGTGGTATAATCTGAAGGTATAAAGAAGACACCCTGCCTGTTTACATGTTACACATGGCTGCTATGCCCCTCCCCCGTCCTCACTTTTCTCAACCCGCTGCCAAAATATGTGAAAGTCAATCCAAGCTGCGGCTCCATGCGCATGTTATTTAAAACTGGACACCATCATGGCAGGCGCGGCGGGTAGCTCCACTGAGCTCAGCGAGTATCCACCCTTTAGCCCGATAAACATCGCTTCTGTGGAGGACTAGAGCTCCGAAACCTTCTGCGATTCACTCGACGCTTCTCATGTCGCTCCCGGTGGTGTTGCCGGGGTCTTGCTGTCCGGTTATCGGGGCTTCGCAGCTCTCTGAGCCGCCTTACCGAAACCGACCCCGTGGCTTGTCCGCCTCTTCCCGCACTGCCGGCGGGGGCTCTCGGCTGCTGCTGCCCGGGCGGCCGCTGCTCTCGTTGGGCTTGCTGCAGCTGCTGCTCGGCGGCTCCATGGTGGCGCTGTGCTTCGGAGCTCTGTCCCTCAGCAACTCACCCCCCATCCGGAACTCATGTCCCTTCTGGGCAGGCTCCTCGGTAAGTTTTAGTGTGCATGGCACTTCATGACAATTGTGCCTGTAACTCTATAGCAGGTCACCAAACACCCCTGGCATAGCCTATGTATAGTAGCCTACATCCGGTACTGTGTAAGAACACTTTAATATTTCAAAAAGGAAGTGTCACCCAGCAGGATGGATCTGTCAGATGCCTCCACATGTGTCCCTAGAGCCACTGGAGAGGGGCTATTATTTCACTGAGTGTAGGGTGGCAAAACAAAAATATATAGGTCTTATTACCAGTAACTAAGTACATTTACTCTAGTGCTGTACTTAACGGTCCCATGTCAGGCTTTTCCGGTTATCACCCGTCCCCTTGTTGTTATGAAGGTTTTTCTGCATGTAAACGGTCTGCAAAGTCACAAACCCTCAAAGTACACCCTGTAGCGAGTACAGCTCTAACACAGAAAATACCTGTCTATGCTGCCCCAGAACGCCTCGTTGGAGATTTCTCTTTTTCTTCCTGGGTACAGTGACGTGACAATACCCAAATGGACCAATCCGTGGAGCTCCTCACACACACTCTCAGCGGCGAAACTGTGAGCCCGGTGGGTAATGACGCTGGAGGAGGTCGGACAAAAACGGGAGGAGGTCGGACAAAAACCGCGCCGCAGCCGTGACGCGGCGCAGGCGGACCCGGTGGAATCAAGGGGTCACTGTAGGTGCGCCGCGTTTGGGGGGGGGGTGCTAGTGGAGCCTCGCAGATAGGGGTGCTGCAGCCCCCTCAGCACCCCCCCTTCCCGCGTCCATTCGCGCTGTCCACGCAGCAAGCAGGAACAATGAATCCAGCTCACACTGTCCGCTCCTCACAGCAGCGAGCCGCGCAACGTCCCGCTAACACGGCACCCAGACCCCACGCAGCATTCTCATCTGTTTGTCATTACTGGTGTCATTTCCTGGTTGCTAACAAACGCCATTGTAACACATAATCACTGATGTTCCGCTGTAACGGTGGTGGACTCATCAGAACAGAGTGGGCGAGCTGACCAATCAGAGCACAGTGGGCTCATAGGGAGGGGGGGGGGGGGCTGGAGCTCCAACAAGCCATGTAGGACAGAGAGTGAATACACAGACTATACAGAGATGCTGTATGAGAAACCAATGTGAGTTTGGAACATTGCACAATGTAAATCTATTTTAGTAGACCTCAACAATGGAATTATGATCAGTAGAAATGGCCATGACATGGGACCTTTAAGTAAAATGTTGAGGTACGTGTACTTTACTTGAGTATTTCCGTTTTATACAACTTTGTACTTCTACTTCGATGCATTTCAAAGGGAAATAATGTAATTTTACTCCACTGCATTTATTTAACAGCTTTAGCTACTTTAAACAAAATGCATCACTAAAACTAGTGGACTCTTTAAGAGTACTGAATTGAAATTTTTTCAAGTAAATCAGAACTTTGTTTGTCAACAACATTACATTTCTACTTGATGCACAAATATCTTCTAGAAATGTAATATTCTAGACGTGGGTTTGCTGTCCTGGCTCCAAAATGGTGGAATGAGCTCCCCATTGACATCAGGACAGCAGAAAGCTTACACACCTTCCGGCGCAGACTGAAAACTCATCTCTTTCGACTCCACTTCGAGCGATAGAACTATTAACAAAGCACTTTTATACTAATAAAGGACTGGCTTACCTAAAGCCAGTTGCGTAGCACTTGAAATGTTTGGCTCTATGAAACCTGATGTACTTATATGATTCTGTTTTCTTCAAGGTTGTGTCTTCCTGGTCGAATGTACTTATTGTAAGTCGCTTTGGATAAAAGCGTCAGCTAAATGTAATGTAATGTAATATATAATCATATAAAACACACAAAGGCAATTTTTCTGCACAATGATTACTTTTTAAAAAAAAACGTAAGTACATTTTGCTGATAGTACTTTTACTTAAGTAAGATTTTGAATGCAGGAATTTTGGTTTTAATGAAATATTTTGACTAATGTATTGGTACTTTTACTCAAGTAAAGCCTCTGGATATTATCATCATCAGCTTTATTTAAAGAGACTCTTGGTCCATTATTAAAAGATGTACAACACTCAAATATAAATTTAAAAAAGGCAGTTATCCCAATGTTTCCACAGAGGTGACTGGTATCGTACAGCACTGAAACACGGATTTGACAGCAGCATAATGACAGAGTTATGAGAAACATTCAATCGACAGATGAATTTGTACATTAGATTTCTCAAAAGAGCATGGAACGTGTTGACTCGTGCGTTACAGAACATTTCGCATTTTAGCAGTATACGCAAACAGTCATTATTATGCAACCTGGAGCTTCTTGAGGCTCGCCTTCTTATACTTGACCCACAAGGGGGCAGTATAGAGAGGAGTGCAATAAGCTCTAAAGAGGTTCACCTTAACCTTATCTGAACACCAAGAGAGTTTTCTAGCCAACATGTTGGCTTGCATATATAAGACACGCCGCTGTCTATACATGTCATCATCATCAGCCATTTCATCTGTGATGACGTGTCCCAGATACTTAGTGTTACAGCAAACAGACAGCACCTGTCCTGACAGGTAGAATGTTGGAAAACAAAGGTTCTTATCCCCTTGTGCTCTGCAGATCATTACAGCGCTCTTCTTAGCATTGTATTTAACGTCAAATTTGACTCCGTAATCAGAACAAACATTTAGCAACTGTTGAAAACCAGCACTGCTAGGAGAAACAATAGCCAGATCATCGGCATACATAAGATGGTTTACAATCACATTACCAATCACACACCCTGTTTTACAGACACTTAAATCATCTGATAGATCATTCATATAGATATTAAAAAGGCATGGTGAGAGGAGCCCCCCCTGGCGGACTCCATTACCAACACCAAATGGCGCAGAGACTGCATTCCCCCATTTGATCCGCATGCTCTGGTTGGCATACCAATAAGCCAGGATCATAATTATACTGTTAGGCACACCCCTTTGTCTCCATTTTAAAAACAGTTTATGGTGGTTAACTCGGTCAAAAGCCTTAGAGGCATCAATGAAACCAATCAGAACAGTGGAATTCTGTCTTCTATATGTTTCTACCATTTCCTTCAAAGCATAGATGCATAGCTCAGTACCATGCTTAGCCTTGAAGCCAAACTGGTTATCTGAGGTACATAAATAAGAACATAGTCTATCTAACAAAATTCTTTCCAGGACTTTGGATAACACACTGGCTAGAGCAATTGGTCTATATTATACTTGATACTTCTTCAACCTCTGCTTATTATGAATGAATAAATACCTCCTTAACGCTGCAGTTAAGTTGTGGTCCAGCATGATCACTGAGAAAGTTACATGTGGAATGTCACTGCATCATTTTCTGAGTACTTAAAGGATATCAGAAAAGAGTTTAATAGGATATAATGAATAGGTAGTAGGCTACAGACTTGATTTTTGTATGAATTGCTAGTAACATGCTTATTAGTTAATTAAGTTAAGTATTTTCTTTGGATAAAACTAATTGTAGGCCAATAATATTGTTGGTATCACTTTATTTTATGATACATTTATAATACTTCGTTAGTAGTTAAAACCATTGGTGGAAAGTATGTCACATTATTTATTCATCTTCTGTATTTAAACATAATAGTATATTTCAATGTTTTGCTACTCTATACTTTTACCCCACTACATTTATTTTACAGCTTCAGTAACATAGGATATATATATATATATATATATATATATATATATATATATATATACATACATACATAGGATATATACATAGGATAGGATATAGATCAACTACTAAATCATGATATTAAAGTTAAGCTATATTAGTGTTGTGGAAATGCCACAATTCTGGTAAGAAATAAACACATATAGAAGTAAAACAAAGTTGTGCTATTCAATAAAGTGTCAACAGAATCGATTTCAGCTGAAAGGATCTGACCATGAGCACACACTGAAAACACTGAAACGGTGACTTTAATTAAATGTATGATGTCAACAGATGTCACATAACTGCATTATGTTAGTTGAAAGCAATAATATTAAGTTAAAAATACAAAATATTAGGTTCAACCTAATATATTTGCTTTTAACTAACCTAATTCAGTTATGTGAAAATTGAAGTCAACGGTTCAGTTTTTTCAGTGTAGGTGTTCATTTTGAGACTTTGTTGCTTCTGAAATACAACTGGCTTTGCCCGGACTTATGGCTTGACTTGTTTAAATGCAAATGGCACAACTTCCCAATTGATGGTACCGAGCAGCACTTTTAAGGGCCAATAACCCATATTCCAGGATGTAGTGTAGCATATCTGTCAAACAAACACACACTCAAACACATATCAGATATGCTGTGACATGCTGTGCTACATAATAAACCTTCTTTTTTTAATTTCATTTTTACATTTTACCTTTTTCATTGGATAGAACATTTGAAAAGGGACTGGACAGAGGAAATGCAACAAAGGGCGGAGGTCAGATTACATTTGTCAGTAGTAATAATAATTAGTTACACCCACCCCTCCCTCTCTTTCTGAAATGCTTCGATTGGACTCCTTTGTTTAATTCTGCAACATAGTGAAATCACTATCTACCTTCTATTAGCTGACGCTCCAACACATTGAACATGATAGTCTTAGGGTACTCTTTAAGGATAAATAAATATATTGGTGATCAATTTTCCCTTTTTAACACATTTTCCACCGTGTGTTTCCAGGTCATTCTGTCCGGCATCGTAGGCCTCACAACATGGAGAAGACCCATGCTGCTGCTGGTAAGATATTTGCTCTTTGCTCTTTATACAAAGAAGTGATTGCATTGGTTACAATGTTTGTGTTGCCGTTACATTTAAGTCCAGTCACTTAGGGATGTCCAACCATGTTCCATGCAGGGCCACGGTCAGCAGGTTTCCAGGCTCCCTCCCCTCATCGGTGCTCCTTCGGGAGGTGGGGGGGGACAGATGTAGATTAAGAAAAGACAGATATGGAAGAATATGGAACAGCATTCTGTGGCAAAAAGATGCCTCCACCTCGATCACCTCTTTCTCCTCAAGGTTTCTGTTATGGTCAGTTTAGTGATGCTGGCGGTTACCATGGTAGCAACATATTTAACACTAGAGTGGCTGACTCAGTCAGTGTGTTGTAAAAGGAATTTCTATTTTGCTTTTTGAACATTTTTGAAGTTCTTAAGGATTCTTATGAAATGAGTTGTGTGTCTTCTAGAATTTCCATTAAATCGTGGATGTAAATACATGTTTAGAGACTGGGAGAGCTCACCAACAGTTATTAATGTTTGTGTATGATGCTTAAAACAAAGTAAGATGTGTGACAGCAGAGCAGCACCATGATGTAATGGGAGTGTTCTTCAACAAGTCCATCTTTAAAACTTCCGAAATATCTAGTAACTGTCTTCAGATAATTTTTCACAGACAACAGCAGACGGTTCTATTAATGCAGTTGTGATAGTGGTGATGTCAACAGGAACGTTGTGGCCTCTATGGTTTTTCAGTACCCAACCCACTGCGTACTCCCGCATCGATGTAGCTACATAAAATACCATTATTTGTATGGCCTGCCCTTATTTCATGTGGGTGAACATTTACTTGGCCATTAAAGCTGCTTCTGATAGTCTCGTTCATTACTTTAATGTTATAATCCAATATGAAGTGGCAGAAAATAGACATTCTCAGCGACAGGAAGTGAGGGAGAGGGACTGTGGGGAGGGGTAGTTAGCTAATTATTTGTGGTCTCATAAACATGACGTTGATCAAATTGGGCGCCTCATATTGTTTTGTTTTTTGGACTTGATATTACTTGAGAGTTGTGTTTATGGGGCGGCGACGTTCTCTTTGTTCATCCATGACGCAGTCACGTGGAAATACCTCAATGCTTTCGTCATGCGGAAGGGTGTGTTGAATCTAAACTGATAGAGACGTCCTCCTGTTCTCGTGCGTTTGAACACTGGAGGTCAACTCCCAAAATCAAAAAGTCTTTAGTGTGAAGGAAATCCGGGCCGCAAACAACACACGACAACAACAACAACAACAACAACAGCTAAATAACATTTTGTCAACGTACAGTTGTCCTAATACCATTTTAGAGTTTTCTCATCTCATTTGGGATATCATTTATGATATAAGAGGGATGGATGTTTTTGCATTTCTCATTACAAAATTAATGATTTTTTTTCTTTTTCTTTTATAACAAATGTTGTAGTCTGGTTGTAGGACTACAGGCCTTTAAAAATGTAACTGGATTAATGTGGACGTATTCTTTACCTCCTACTGGGATGGGTATCGTTAGGATTTTAACGGTGCTCCTCTTCAATAGTGTTATCCTATTGACTGCTTATCTATCCGGTACTTTACTTTTCTCACGTAATTCTAGACGGGGAAACAGAGATACAAGATAGACAGTCGAAAACTGTGCATTTCTCAGTCTGAATGTGGTGCACCTTTGCCAGATGTTCAAAAGATGGGTCCACCCTTGCAAGCAAACGACTTATCGCAGTTCTGATAACAAGCATCATCCACATTGATCCTTGTGAAGGTTAACCACAATTTATAACGTTTTATTCTCTCTACCATTGTCTCTTTCAGATCTCTGTCTAATTGTATGGCAAGGAGCAGTAGCGTAGGGATTTAAATGAGTGCAAGTGCATCACAGACACATTCTGTAATCTTATTACAAATTAGAAACAGATGGTGAAATAAAATGTGCAATATAACGTTTGTGTAGCAATAATAAATATGACATATATTTTCTTTTTTTCTCCAGTACTGATAACAAAACCGATAAAGTCGGAATATATCGATACCACAGTCTTTAAAAATGTAGCCCCGGGGACCGGTTAATACCGGGTTTCAGTATCAGTACTACCATTACTAAAATATATTTACTATACATTTGAACATTGCTCTTTCCTGTGAAAGAGCATAAGGATAGGAGTATCGTGTCTTAATATTTGTCCTTGTTTGATGTTCCAAATGGAGCTGCTGTGGTGACGTCAGACTTGATCTGACAATAAAGTGTTATCCTATTGATGATTTGAATTGGACTGTTTAGTAAGATAATGTCATGTCACCTCCCTGTTTGTACATGGTCCATTACAGCAACTGTTTATCTCCCAACATGTGTTCACATCATGTTTATTCTGTCTTGATTTACAGAATATGTCCACAGCACCACAATAATCCATTCTCCCTTCCTTTTTCATCCACCCCCTGTCCCCATCCCTCCATCTCCAGGTCAATGTGTTTGTCCTGCTGTCTGTGGTGTGTGTGCTCCTTAACCTGGCTGGATTCATCCTGTGCTGCCAGGGAGCCCAGCTGGTGTCCAGTATGACCAGCTGCCAACTGGTGAGCTGTCTCTGCTGCTCTCTGCAGTGAATGCAATGAAACCCTGCTTACTAGTTTGATATATGACCAGTTGAACTAGTTAACTGGAGGAGGATATATTGTGGTGCACTGATGATGTTTTTTTGTTGTCCGATCCGGAAGTTAGCATTACAAGGGCTCCCTCAGAATACTGTGGGAAATAATATCTGTAGCCCCCACCTGTTAATGATACTTACATGTTTAGTCCAGCAGGATAATCACTAGGGCTGTACCCGAATATCCGAATATTCGTTCGTTGGAGTACTATTCGGGTTTCAATTTTGTTATTCGGATATTCGTTTTGTTTGTTTTTTCGTTTTTTCCCGTTTTTTTTTTCAAATGTAATGTATTGAAATCTCCAATATCAACGTAAGAGCTTGTGCCTCTTCGGGGGGTGCTAACACTTAACCATAAATGTTATCATTTACTTTCTCCGTCTTTATATGTAGATATGACTTTTCTCCGTTAATCTCCGTCACGTTGTTTTCATAGCAACAACAACTTCCTGTCAACTGCGCTAACTCTCCTTCAAAATAAAAGCATTTCCATAAATAGGAAGCCAAGCCAAATTACACTTAAGACATATACAACTGCAACGAAAGTAACAAACACAATCGATATCCTTTTCAATTTCAAAGAACACAAATTGGGTTATATTAACAAATAACTATAAAATAACAATACCGTAGAACAGGGGTCGGCAACAGGCGCACCGCGATCCGGACCCAGACCTATACGGACCAGGACCTACACTGAACAAAAATATAAACGCAACACTTTTGTTTTTGCTCCCATTTTTCATGAGATGAACTCAAAGATCTAAAACATTTTCTATATACACAAAATAACCATTTCTCTCAAATATTGTTCACAAATCTGAAAAGATCTGTGATAGTGAGCACTTTTCCTTTGCCGAGATAATCCATCCCACCTCACAGGTGTGGCATATCAAGATGCTGATTAGACAGCATGATTATTGCACAGGTGTGCCTTAGGCTGGCCACAATAAAAGGCCACTCTGAAACGTGCAGTTTTCCTTTATTTGGGGGGTCTGGGGGGGTCCGAAAACCAGTCAGTATCTGGTGTGAGGGGTAGGGTTAGGGTTAGGGTAATGTTGTGAATTGAGTGATCTGTGTTCGTCATCCATAACATACGCCTGCCCATACCATAACCCCACCACCACCATGGGCACGTACGGCACTTCCTACGCCGGTTTCCCTTTATAAATCACAACCGACTCGAAATGCGGTGCAGCTTTTGCGGGCTTCACGTAACGCCCATATTTGCCTATAAATAGTCAAAGAAACGCCCATTCATTCTGACTGACTTTATGAAGAAGATAGCAGGAAATGACGACAGAACAGCTGAAAAAGACATCTCACACCGTGTCAGATTTTGGTTATTTTGGGGAGGTCGAGATCAATCATATTGTTTGGTGGATGCAGTTTGAACCAGAGTAGCAGCATGGAGGTCGGATCATCACCAAAATAAATAAATAAGTGGTCCGAAAAAGGTTCATGACAAAAACAATACACATAGCCTTCCTCAGGCAGTGTGTTTGTACCGGGGACAGGAGACCCCCCCTTGATGAGAAACTGTAAGAAGTGAATGGGGAATCCCCCCGGTGTGGAGTCATGACGACTGGATCTGAATTATGTTTTTGTATTTGGTGGTTTGTGTTCCAGCTGTCGATCAGCTGTGCGCAGCGTCTCCACTGCAGCCTGTGCGTCTCAACCCCCCCGCAGCAACTCTATATCCACCAGTTAGAGGAAATACAACTAATGTGTTGTGTTATATTAGCTGTACAATTTACCACATATGATGTTCTTAGTTTCCATACCTCCTGTGTTTTATAAGCGACTTATCAAGTCTTGGCAAACGGCATAAAACACGATTAAACATGATAGTATATAAAACCATGCTCGTATACAACCTATAGAAATGCTAAACGGCGTCAGTTTAAAGTAATTCTGTCCTCCTGCTTACCGCATCATTTATGAGAAAACATTTCATAACATTAACACAACATATTCGGGGTGGTTTTAAATAACATATCCGTATTTATTTATTTCTCCAAGTTATGTTTTTGTGTGCACTGAGGAGTCTCAAACAGGCGTTTGTTTAATCATTTTAAGATTGGCTTTAATCAATGTTTGAAAATGAATTCTTCATATATGATAAATGAGAGGTAACATTTTATTTATGGTATTATTGCCACATATTTCTCTCCATTCTTCCTTCTGCCAACGGTGTCGCAGTTTCTCGTCTCTCCCGTTGTTGTGCTTAGTGCGTACGCATGGGTTAGAGTTTGCGTGGAGGACCGAACATTTTCCCATCAAGTTAGTATTTTATAAATCGCAAACATTGCGTAGAAACTGGCGTACGCCATTTTTTGAGCGTATATCCCTTTATAAACGAGTTCCCTGATGTTCTAAAGCTTTTGGATTGTGCAATAATATGCAGAGACATGTTAACAGTGTTTCTCTGGAAATACTTAAGTCATGCAATTTTGTTAAGAAAGCTGTCCGCCTGTCCGGGATTTACAACAGCCACAAGGAAGATGGTATTGGGGAAAAGATAAATGCACTAAATATATACTTTAACATAAATAAAATCCCATTATTGGAAAGATAATTTAAGCAAATAGATTGTAATGCAAACTCACTTTCTTTTGCTTAGCTGCCTCCACATTAATTTACTGTTGTTTGTTTTCCACAAAAGCCAAACTGCAGTTACCCAAAAAGGGTCATTTTGTATATAAACTGTGTTGGAGCCACTTAGAGAGTTTGGTCAAAGAATAATATCTAATGGTATTAGATGTTTATTTAATTAATTAATTAAATTGCCTTAGCAGATGACATTATAATTAGATTTATTTTATTTCAACAAGAGAAACAACGTGCAGAGGAAGGGCAGCGTTAACAGTCAAGCCAGCCTGCCGCAGTCCCCCGGGACTGATAATCAGTAATCACTCCCAAATGAGTTTAGGGGAACAGAGACGAGGCATTTGAGTCCTGCAGGATTTCCCCGTTAAGATCAGTGTCTCGAAAACACATGTTGGCGACTGAAAGACATCCAGTGTTTGGTCTTTTCCGGAAGCATCCTTCACCTACAGAGTCTTAACTGAAAGAGGACCACTGTTACGTCCCGTCCCTCTACCAAGCGGTAGTGGCTCGTGGGAAGACCTGCAACATAAAAACAACCACGCCAAACACAGAATTTAGTTATCGACGGGCATTTATTTTCAGCACAGCCGTAACTCACATGCATGGCTACCGGCAATAAGGAACCAAGTCTGGAGGATCGTAAAACAAACCAAAAAAGAAGAAGGGGGCCTGGGCCAGTAGGACCCAGACTTCCCTCCTCTACCCAAAGGTCCAAACACAGCCTACTGGGAAGGAAGGAAGTTTGAATGAATGAAGGAAACAAAGCCGCAAAAAACCTATACTAATATCCTCCAGAGTTCACACTAAATAAATACAGCAAAATATATATAAATCCACACGAGGTGAGAGGAAATCCACGGTCGTATTCCCTTGGTTTCAGGACGGGAAAAGAGACCCCTTCTCCTCCAGCTTTTTCTCTTTAAGTCATCCCCAGCTGAATGTCATCAGGACACCTGGGGAAGGCGGAGCCAGGAGCGGACCAGGTGTACCTGCGCAGCAGAGACAGAGAAAACACATAGAGCACGTAACACCCCCACCATGAGTTAGTGATTTTTTTTTTTTAAATGTATATATTTTTTTTTACAGAAAACAAAACAATCACAACAATCGACTTTCAGTCGACAGACGTGCTCCACCAGTCAGTCCACCCAGCAACCAGGCTACATATCACAAGCGCGACAATGCATCAGCCAACACATTGTCCTTGCCACAAATGTGTTTGACCTCAACATTGAAGGCTTGCATACAAATGCTCCACCGCATCAACCTTTGGTTTGTGTTACGCATTCTCTGCAGGAACACAAGGGGGTTGTGATCGGTAAAAATAGTGACAGGGATGTTCGATGACCCAACGTACACCTCAAAGTGGTTTAAGGCCAGAACCATAGCCAGGGCCTCTTTTTCGATGGTGGAGTACACCCGCTGGTGTCGATTGAATTTCTTTGAGAAGTATGATACTGGATGCTCCACCCCATCGACATCCTGCAGCAAGACAGCTCCAGCCCCAAATTCACTTGCATCAACTGCTAGTTTAAAGGGCCGATCAAAGTTTGGCGCTACAAGCACCGGAGCATTAGTCATCAGCAATTTAATTTGCTGGAAAGCATGGTCACAGTGCTCAGACCACACATAATGAACTTTTGGGCTTAACAGATCAGTTAACGGAGCAGCAACAGCTGAGAAATGTTTACAGAACCCTCTGTAGTACCCAGTCATCCCAAGGAAGTCACGTCGGGAAGCCGGAGCAGAAAATGCCAGGATTGGTTCCACCTTGGCCTGGACCGGCCGTACTTCCCCGTTGCCAACCACTTCTCCCAGATAGACCACGGTTGCCTGAGCAAAGTCACATTTTGCCAAGTTAATAGTTAAGTTCACCCTGCGCAAACGCTCGAACACCTCCGCCAACTGTTCCCTGTGCTTTTGCCATGACTCTGAATAAACCACAATGTCATCCAAATATTCCGCACACCCTGACAGACCCGACAGCACAATATTAACGAGCCGTTGAAAAGTTGCTGGCGCGTTGCGCATCCCGAACGCCATGACAGTGTACTGTAAATTATCTGGTGTCACAAACGCTGAAATTTCCTTAGCGCGGCTAGTTAGTGGAACTTGCCAATACCCTTTTAACAAGTCGATCTTGGTAACAAACGAGGCACTGCCAACCTGGTCAATACAATCCTCCCTTCTGGGCAAAGGATAGCTGTCGGGCTTTGTCACGTTGTTAACCTTCCCGGAAGTCTGTACAAAAGCGATCGGATTTATCCGACTTGTCCACCAGTAAACAAGGCGTGCTCCACGGGCTTAGGCTGTACT